CACACACACACACACACACACACACACACACACACACACACACACGACTTTCACATTTTAGTATGGACATTGAATTGACATAATGCTTTCCCTAACTCTAACCATCAGAAATGAAAGCTTAATTCTAAATCTAACCATAACCTAATTGTATCTATAAAACCACATTCTGAGCCTCAAAAATGCCTTCAAATTCATTAGGACACACAAGTGACTGTCCTCACAAAGATATTCAAACAAGTACACACACACACACACACACACAGTTTGTGTATGCACACATACTCAGCCAAAAGTATTTGACTGGAAGTTTCTCCAACTAAGCTCATTTCACAGAGCACTGAGTTTTGACTCCACGGGGACCACAGTGCTGTCATTCATCCACAAGGGTGTGTGTATTTAAGTGTGAGTGACAGTCCATCATGATGAGTGTGTGTCTATGTACAAGAGGGAAATGAAGTGAGCCATGATGAGACTGATATTGACATGCTTACTAGAGCAAAGAAGAGCTGTGAAAAGTATTTAATAAGCACCTTGAGACAACTGCTGTGTATGTGAGTGTGTGAGTGTGCAGGTGTGTATGTGATAGATTAGAACTGCTATCTGAAGACTTAAAAGATAAAAGTCCAAGTGGGTAGATTTTCTGTAGGCTAAAGGACACTATCATACAGCTGTCAAGGCATGTCTAAATTGATCAAGTGTATGTTGTACCTGATCCAGTATATCAGCGAACTGCCAAAGTTTGCTGAGCTCTACAAGATTTAGCCAGGTCATGTCAAGGATCCATTTAGCTGGTTTCTGGGGGCAAGCCTTCAGATCCAAGGATGCACCTCCTGAATAATATGAACATGAACAATTACAGATATAGACACCTGCAAGTATAACTGGAGGATCCAATGCAAAAAATTCAATTTTAAACTCCCAAAATACATAACAAATGTAAAAATGTAAACCCAATCTTCAAAAACACAGAAAAAGTCATCAGAATTGTAATTTGTTGTTTATCAGGCCGGAGCTGACAGATGGTGAAGCTGCGTGCGTGCACCAGACTGTGGCTGTTCTGGTTCTGCCAGTTGCCATTGCTGGGTTTTATCCCCACAGTGAGGAGCACTCCATATCATATTCAGTGAACTGCTACAGTGTCAATATGTTCAAATTCTGCATAGTTTCTGTCATGAGGTTTAAAACCTGTCTACTCCTTGAAATAAACAATAAATATGGTTAAAGAAAAGAATAACAAACAGCAGAAACAGATGGCAATTTTAACAAACCTTCAAGCTGTTTTGATGTGAATGATAGCTTTACAGAAACCCTTGTATTTTCATTTTTATTTCAAAATGCCGTTTTAAAATAAATCTTAAGAAAAAGTAGGGAAAAACAGTTTTTGTCCAGATGAATATGCTTCAGAAAATCTGTCTGTTCATTCTAACAAGCCGTAAGAAATATCATAATCATGTTTACAACCATGTGATCGATCAAACAGGAAGTAGAGTGTTGTTAGCTAAATGATCTATTCGTTAGCTGTAGAATCTTTGGTTCTGGACAATTTGTGAGTCAGCACAGCACTGGCAGCCTTCATGCACTATGTGTCTCAGTACTCAGTGATCCCGCCCTGTAACTTTACATGGTCTAACACTTTGTAGTTTAGCTGATGGTGGAATATCTAGGAGTGAAGAAATTTCCCAAACTCACTTGTTGCAACGGTGGGTTAAATTCTTAGTACTAAGAATCTTTGTCAATACAAGCCATGTTTTTTCATAGCTCAGAGCAGATGTGTTGAAACTCATAATTTTGGGTCTTAGCATTTTTATCTTTTATTTGTTTTCCTGCGTTACTGAATAGATTTCATTTGGCGTATTTTAGTAGATCAGAAATATTGTTGCATTGTTTGATGTTATTTCATGTAACGAAAATTCTATTCTTTATATTTGTAATATGCAGTTAAATACCTAATAAATAAAGAATACTTATGCACATCTAAATGCCAGTAATCAACATGAGTTATGACCCCACTGAAACGTTCCAAATATTCAAACTAACCCATGGTTGCATGTGCTCACAAAAACAACAATTTACCCGTACAAAAAAAACCTTCAGTGTTTGCATCTGCCTCTTACCTTTGATGAGTGTGAGGAACTCCTCGTGTTTGACCTTGTTGCTCTGCATGTCTATCTTCAGCGTCATCAGCAAAGTGAAAAGAAACTTGTGGTCCTCATACAGGCCCCGTGCTGCGTACTTATAAACTTCAAAGGTCATGAACTCTATGATGTTGGCGATCCGTTTACTTGTGATAGGGCTTTTAGAAGACCTTTTCAGGGAAATAAACAGGTCTTCTAAATAACATAGCAACTTGAAGATTCTGTTGCTATGTCATAAAATTATACTTGCCAGTCGTAAGAGCGAGAACTTCTCTAAAATCAAATATAAACTACTAGTAATGATTGCACAACTTCATGAAGTAATAACTTGCAGGTTTTTACATTAGAAAGGTATGGTGGTTTAAATGCACAATAGTTCCTTGATTTGAAGTTTGCAAAGACTTTCCAATATACATATAAACACACAACAAATTACTATGGGCAAACCAATTCATTAAGCAGGAAATGGTAAATATCAGCGTATCCTCACCTGGCCAGAGAAAGGTCAAAAAGTCCCAGGAACTGTCTAAGAGACGTCTGATACATGACATTCACCATACTCATCTCTGTAATCAGGAAGTACAGGATGCTGCCCCTGGTGGCCACTGGAATCACACAGGGAAACACAAAAGCACAAACTCCAACAAAACAAGTAATATCGTTCATGAGGACATTTTTAAACAGGTTTTTGAAAGAATGTTCTGTTAACTGTAGCCTCCATCCATCCATCCATTCGCGTCCGCTTATCCTGTTCAGGGTCGCGGGGGGCGCTGGAGCCTATCCCAGCTGTCATAGGGCGAAAGGCGGGGTACACCCTGGACAGGTCGCCAGTCTGTCGCAGGGCCAACACACAGAGACAGACAACCATTCGCACTCACATTCACTCGCACATTCACACCTATGGGCAATTTGGATTAACCAATTAACCTATCCCCACTAACTGTAGCCTGTATTTTTTAAATTAAAACCAATATGTCTCACATTTGTGTAACTGAAGGCTGACTGACACTTTGCAGGCTTACTTAGAAAAACACACAAAAAAAGAGGGAACTTTGTTTTTAAATCATTTTCACTTACCTGGCCGGTACTCCTCTCTGGCTGCGTTGATCTGGATCTCAGTCTCTGCGGCAATCTGTAACTTCTGAGTGACTTCTTCAGCCGTACACTTTGTGTTGCTAAGGACAAGAATCAGACTCTCATCATCAACCAAGGAACCCTAAAAAACACACAAACAATTTTTTTTTTAAAAAAACGATTATTTTTCACAATTTATATCTTATAAAGCAAAAGAGAAAAAGAAGGCTGCAAACTATTTCTAGTTTTAATTAAAAAACGAGAATGCACAAAACTTGGCCCCAACCTCACCCATGCAAATGAATAAAACATTTTCTCACTGGTGGCAGTGTAGTTAACCATTTCTAAAAAGAACATTTCTGACACATTGCGGTTTCTTGCCTGTGTGCTCGTCAGTCGGTAGAGAAGACTGTCTTCTAGTTCCTTCATCTTTCTCTTGTTAGATGTCACATCTTCCAAGAGGTCTGTCCTCTCCTTCTCCAATTCCTGGTGTCATAAAAGCAAAGAAAACACAACCACATGAGCAGATATAGCTGCAGGATGGTGCTAGAGAAAGCCTGTCATTAAAATCAAAGGTCTTTGATTCTGCATTGCTCTGATGAGTTGATTCTGTCTGTGGCTTTAGACTCTTCTCCGGTGCCTGTCTATCATGGTGGCCTCTGGTAGCTGTCTATATTATTCTTACTAATATCTGCAGCCGCGTGAAGGTCAAGAAGCTGAGATTTTGGCAAAAAAAATTAATAAATACCTTATCTAAATGAATAGATGAGCAGAATCCTTATGAAGAATAAAAACGCCCCTAGCCTCAGGGTGATGATAGGACCTGTAAAGCTATGTTGTCGCCCTTTTCTCCGTAGTCCTAAGTAAGCCCCAGCAAATGACTCCAGCTTACCTCTTCTAAGTGTCCAAAAGTGTTATTTCTGCACTGGGGAAAGCAGGTCTTATCAAAATTTACACCACAGTCTTGCCTGCTGGGAGCATAAATTTGACCAGCATGCTAAATCCCTTTTAGAGTATGAGAGACAATAATTGTGATATTTTGTTTTGAGAGTGCGAGAGATTAAACTAAAACAAAATTTGTCTTGTTATCTAAGTCAAATTTAATGGTGGCTCATAAGTAGGCCGACTATCCACATCCCATTAAACTGACTGCCTTTAAGCGGGTATAAAAAAAACAGTCACCACTTCTAAGTGGCAGGTGTGTTTTAAATCAATTAGATTGCTATTTTGATTGTAGATTACAAGCATATTTTCCTAAGAACTGCTGTGTTGGACACTATCACAGCAGGTTGTTATCAATGATAAATGCTCTTTACATATAATATAATATAATATAATATAATATAATATAATATAATATAAATACACAAATATTTATGAAAATGCTTCTTTTTTTTTTACATTTCCTATAATTTTATTTTTACTATGAGAATTATCATGGTCAAGACAGCAGGCTGGTTTGAAACCAGTGGGTCTGAGAGGACAGAATTAGTATTCATACCCTTTCTATTACTGCATATGAATGATTTCAATAGCTTACAAAGACAGATGTAAGTCATACTGGAGCTGAAAGCTGTGTGTAGAATTGAAGTTTGACTGAAAGTAAAAAGAAACGATTCAACAGTGATGTTGGGTTTGTGAAAACTGCACAAATTGTAAAGACAAGAAGCAGGGCTTACAGCTGAGGTAGTAGTTTTAGCTCTTATTTGATTAAATCCAAATTTAGTACACAGATACAGTAACAAGCCTCTTCCCATCTGGAATAAATCTTTCATTTCATGACCAGCTATCAGCAGAGGGAAAATTGCTTTTCTGTAACAGGACCAGCCTTTTCAGAGTGACAATCAATGAGTCCTGCATTTGGTGCATTTATAATTCACTAATCTATTCCCCAGTGAGACTGACGTCACTTGTCTGTGTCTTTGTGCGTATGCTTGGTACCGATACACGTGAGCACTATTTCTGGGTTACTTTTATTCACCACTCACACTGTGTTTGACCAAAGCAGGGCGGTTGCAATTGTTTGTATTCAAATGGCGTTCTGATGTCACAGTACAGAGAAAATGAGACTGGGAAAGATGTAGAGAGTCTGCATTTAAATGTTGTTCAAGATTTATTTCAGGTTCTACAAGGATGCACATAAGCAGTATTAATGCAGAGGTACAGTCTAATAGTACATTATGCTAACCTAATTTAAATATGTTCCTTAATTATGTATCGTCTGGCTTTAGTGGCTACCATTTTGAATATTTGTATACCTGCTTTTCAGTGAGGATGACTCTGCCCAGCAGCTGGTCCTCCAGTCCTCTCATGGTGACAGTGAAGTCAATGATGGAGGTGCGAGCACTTATTTCAGGAGTGTAAGCCGGGTTAGGCAGCTTGGTGGTCATATACAACCTGAAGCCCTTCATCACATCCACTTCTTTGTCACCAAGCTTCACCTGCAAGAGGGTGTATGTGTGTTATTGTTTAGAATATTAAGTCTTACAAATAACATAATAAAGAGCTCAGAGTTGGAATTACTGGTTGGAGTTCTGGTTTTCCATTGGACATAAATGTGGGTGTATTTGGATGCTAAAAGTTCATATTTTTACCATCCAAAAGTGCAGAATTAATTTAGAGTGTTCTCATTTGTGTTTTCAGGAAATTGGAATTGTTCAAATCTTTATTAGCAACACAGAAAAGACATTTGCGCACAATATAAATGTTTTTTTTCTCCAAAAGTGCAAACCATTTTTTCCATTAAAAACATATGAATGTCCTGTTGTACCCAGAGTCTACTTCCAAAGCTTAATTTGGGGTCGTCATTTAGGCTAATGAAACCAAAACCACTCAAACTGTGATCTGCAATTTTCCCAACTACAATTATCTTCAACATTACATAAAACTGAAGCTGCAATAGAGTCAAAATCGGTGCATTTCGCATCTCAGGAACAGGAAGCACTCTGCAAAAGTATGCTGCAATTTCAGCCTTCATCCTGTAAAATCATTTGATTTTTTTATTTTTTGTTTTTTTACTAACATGCCCCCAAACACCCACAACTCACGCAACAGCATCAGGTAGCTCCAGTTTGTTTATTTCGCCCCCCAAAAAAATAATATTCATTCAAATCAACCCACATCCCATCTGCACTGGCTCAATGCTCCACAGCCTGAACTCCTTTGCATTAGAATGTGAGCTAAGACAGGATACCGAATGCACTTTGTGTACTGTATTTAATTTGATGTTACTTTAACAACTGATTGAGTTTAATTTATGTGGTGAATTTAAATTGTTTGGCATCAACAAAAATGATGGAAATAAAAAAGAAAAGGAAGTTTCATTATGCAACAGAAGTCTGTTAAAGTATCGACACTTGCCCTTGTTCTAAGTGGTGACATATTGAATGTTTGTTTCCCTGAGTATGTCTTAAAATTTTATATTTTATTGTATTTTTTGTTAATGTAGCTTTCAAAACTGTCTGAATACCCAAAGCAGAGTCAAGAGAACCAACTGTGCCTTTTTGACAAGATCTAATGATGCCGACCTTCTATAAAAAACAGCAAAATAAAGGAGGAAATAGTACAATGTACACTGCACAGTGTAAACCCTTTTCCCAGACTTACCAAGTACATTTTAATCTGTCTCAAAAGAATTAATATGATCTAGGAAATGTGGTCTGGCTGCCAATGATACTCATACTTAAAACTCTCTTCTAGTCGACACTACCTGTGCAGTGTCAGCGAGAGAGCTTGTTTTTCTCTGTCTGAGCTAATCAAGCCCTATCAGTCCAGGTGTGACAGCTGGCGTGCCAAGGAGAAGCTGGCAAAGTCCCATCATACTGACCACTAGTCTTTGAACATGCCTGCCAATTTCATACCCTTCTAACTAAAAGTAAAATCTAACACATGGATCTAAGTAGGATTATTTCGTTCTGTGTTGTTACCTTGTAAGTGGAGCCGGTTTTGATGAAGTTTTTCTCAAGTATGTTGTCAAGCGCAGGGTCCAACTCCTCCCCCACATCCTCAATCAAAAGGGGTCGACCAAGAGACAAACTGTCCTCTAGGTGGTTCTTGAAGTACTTGTGATTCAGTGAGGTGATCTGAGATCAGACAAGAAAACACATTTTAAAATGGTAATTGTCTGATTTCAATGTGCAGTTTGGATGACCACCACCACAGAGCCTGATATTGTCCTGAGGATATGAAATAAATGGGCTAAATGTGAGAAGATTTTACAAAACAGACAAAAATACTGATTTTACTGTACGATACAATAACCTTCCTATGTGACCACAGCAGCAATAATATTTGTCTCCAACAGGAGTAGGAGACACATGTGTGGTTTCCTCACTTTTCCTTCAAAGCTACAAAGGTCAGCCTCTATGTGCGGATTCTGACTGTTCAAGCTAACAAAGAATTGCTTTTCAAGTGAGCCATTTTTAGAAAAAAATAAATAAACTTTTTCTAATGATGTGACCTGAAGAAAGGGTTGAAACCTACCGCTGGAGGAAATGTGTCTCCAGGATGCTCATAATGGGATTTCAGAATGCATTCACTCGGCTTAGAGATTGCCCCTAACAGGGTCAGCGACTTTTGCTTAGCTTATTATGTCTGCAGAATTGGTGGTAGTTTTTTTGTGGGGGGTTTTGACATTGTGCTCTGTATACTGGATAGCAGGAAGGACCAAGGGCATTAAAGAATTTAGGACCACAGTTACTAACAAGCAATGATGATCCACAAGGCCAGTAACATTGTGGGGATGGAGCTGCACTCTCTAAATGTGGTGTCAGAGAGAAGGATGTTTTCCAAGATAAGGACAATGCTGGACAATACCTCCCACCCAGTCACAGGAGCACGTTCAGTGAGAGACTGAGATTACCCAAATGCACCACTGAATGACACAGGAAATAATTCCTGCCGGTGGCTCTCTCTCTGTAAAATTCATGAATCTAAACCACCAGTACACACTGCAGTAGTTGCACACACTTATGATCTGCACATCCTATACAGGAATATAAGGGCACTGCAATTTCAGCTTTGTTTTTCAGTGTTGTCTAATATATTGGGATATTTATAATTGGAGCTATTTTCGTTTATTAGAGCTGTTTGTTCTATTTTTAAATTAGTATTATTTCATTGGTACTTTAACTTGGTAGTAACTGTTCTTACTTGGAACTGTGAACACACAATTTCCTCTAGGATTCTGATTCTGATATTAGAGGCCACTAAAAATCAAAATGGGCACAGGACATTTGGACTGGTGAAGAAGACTAGGTATAATGCAAAAGGCTGCATGACGGATGGATGAATGGATGCATTCATTTAACTTTTATATGCTTCAGACACTGAAACGAAATTGTAGAAGATAGTTTTGCAAACCTGTAGCTCATTCTTGGCTTCTTTGTTCTTGATCCAGATTTTTCCCTGTGTCTGTGGGTCAATAAGGAGGGGGAAGCGGGCAGCTTTGGTTACAATAATGCCATTGTGAATGGACAGGTCATCATTTGGCAAACCCTGTAAGACACAACATGAATAAATGGTGAGGGTCAATCTTGATGCTTAACAGTATCTCCACCAATGATAAATGGTCCAGCAATCAACGTTTCCTGGGATCCTCGTTTAAAGATAAATAAAAGATATTAGCAGCTACCAGTGCTACCCATCAGCGTTTTAGTAGCACCTATGGTATCAGTTTAAAAATCCTAAATTGTCTGGTTTTCAAGTTATCTGATTTACAAACTGGGCGTCCACACCACCCGGTTGGCGACCCAGCAGACTGACAACAACACCTCATCAGCTTTTTACTGCTGAGGGGTAAAAAAAAAAAAAAAGACTGTTAACATAAACTAACATTTACACAAACGTTAAAACAACTTAAGCTAACAAAAATGTTAGCAATTCTAGTTAGATTCCCATATATTCACAAAACTTCTTTCAACTACTAACTACTACATTACTGTTACTACAACCAACAATAATAATAATAATGACGCTATCAGTTAATTTTTAATTAACCTAATTACCTTATTTTCCGCAGGATTTTAAGGTGCACATAAAATCCTTTAATTTTCTCAAAAATCGACAGTGAGCCTTATGTATGAATTCTGGTTGTGCCGATTTTATGTGGTACACAGCACTCAAAAATCTGTCAAAACATGTTTTAGTACAAATATGTTTTGGTAAGCTACGAAGAATTGATTGTCAGAGCGTTATGACAACCGTAGTCAAGAGCCTTGCGGAACAATCTGGGTCCAAAACTCCGTCAGTTTCAGGACAGGTCCCAAAGTCGAACAAACAGTGCGACATCACAGAGAGTTAACTGTCTAAATTCTTTCACATTTAATAAAATGATCAGCGTTGCTGATTTACCAGGTGTAACGATTACGTTTAACATACAGGCATCCATGAAAACAGAATTTATAAGATTATAGTTATAGGTTAGATTAGAGTTATAGGTTAGCAGGAAGTTAGCTCGCTAGTTTCCGTCTAAACATGATATACCATGTTATGACTGAGAGATTTCTGAAAAAAATTAAAACATACAGCTCTGCTATGGCTTCCAGCATAAATGAAGACAGAAAACTAAACAGCAGTGATGCTTGTAGGGTTACTGGGTTGGGCTAGCTGGTATATTGGGTTGGGCTAGCTGGTATATAATGCTGTGCTACATTACATGTGGCATTAATATGTAAAAACATCTCTAGTTAGCAAAATAGATCACTGACCTGAAGGTTCCATTCACTAACTGTGGGCGCATCAATGAGCAGTTCAGTCAGATTGAGGTTGTTACCAAACGGGATGTAACGTTGCTTCAGCTCTCGCTGCCAGTCGTTCAGTAGAAGGTTACGAAACTCCTGATTGAAAGGTCCTGAGTAAGAAAGAAAGGCTGTGGCCAGAAGAACATCACCTGGAATAGGAACAAGCGTTGTTACGTGTACATACTTATCGGTACACATCAGTGTATCAGTTACATATTAATCAGATGTGGCACTGCCTATGCACTGAAATGAGAACATGCCTAAATATTAGTGGGGTAATTTTAAAAGTGCAAGAAATTCCATGTCAAACAGTAGCATCACGACCATCCCGCTGATAAATTAAAAACATTAGCATACAATAACGACATGACAGATTAAGGTTATAACTCCAAGTATAACTGCATCATCAGACAGAGATTTTTCACTTCACTGCACATTATTCATCCACAGAACATTTCCCATATCACACAAAGAACTTTATATTATTATGATAGATATTTGTTATTATGTTGCAGAGGCTAACTCTATGTTTTTGAAACCTGCTGTGAAACCCACCCACGAGCCGTTTGGTTTGGACAGCAAACTCTTTGCTCTGTTCCGTCCATCTCTCCTTCTCGCCAGCGAGACCGCTGATGAGACTGGACGCTGTCTGCATCTTGTGTCTGCAGCGCTCAGCATCCTCCAGCAGCGTCTGATGGGAAAGGGGCCCACAAACAGGTCAGTAGGTTGATGTGTCTATTTAGCCTTGTGTGTCTGTCCAAGTGTGTCTGCCTCTATCCAAGTCTTATTCCACCATCTGCACATTCGTGGATTAAACCCCTAAAAGCTCATCTCTGTTCATCAGAATTACATACCCACCATCATTATCTAACTTAGTACACATGAATCTAAGAATATTTGCCTCTTCCCTCAGCTGCTCACCAGCGAACTGCCCCTCACTGCATGCGCAAGCCACACTTTAGGTTTTTTTGCTTGACAGAGAGGGACACAGTGCCCTTCCACACTGCTGAAGTGTGTGCTTTGTTAAGCAGGAGAGAAAAACCGAGGGCTTCTTCTGTAAATCAAGAGGACTATAAAGGAGAGGTGGTGCTGTTCCAACAGGTCACAGGAGAGAAGAAGTTGTGTGATGTGTCAGGAACACAGTGACTTGGGCAAAATAAAGAAAATGCTGGGTGTTAAATCTGTGATTACAAACAAAGCATACAAATGCAGACAGATTAACACGTCCTGGGAAGCTTGTATTGCCCCAAGTTATTGTTGTTAATGTTATCTTCACTTTATCTGTCTTCTTTTGCTTTCCAGGACTCATTTTTAAAAAATATGTTTTACCACTTTATAAAGGGGAAATATTGAAAAAGGCATGTGGCCTGTGCTATGAAGCAGAATTTCATCTTATCCTGGTACTTTCAGGGCTAACCCTGAGTTTTTTGTATTATGAAGGTGGTTTACTTCTTACCGAGTTATATCACCATGGTAAATTATGCTGCAAATCTAACTTGCCTTTTAAACATAATTGAATTAAACACTTGATTACAGTCCATCAGATTCTGTTTAGATCATCAGTATCTTAATGATTGAGCTATGATATTTTTAAGCATGTCTGTTTCCTTCCCATGAGCCTAGTGTTCCCAGTCTTCATCCAGAGAGCCATCTAGATTTCCAGTTCTTTTTCGGTTTTTTGCCTTTTATTGTTTAGTTATGGACTTCGACTGCATTCCTAATAAAGCTTGCTTTCTGTTTTACATCGAGACTTTGGTCTTCACTTTGAGCCACTCCTGTCCATCATCAACACCAAATGCCTTTGCAACGAGCCTTTCAGTCTCACTTTTAGCCCTGGAAGATGAACAGTCTCTGCATCTTAATCATGACATTATAACCTGTTCCCGTCCTGGTCTCTTAATCAGGGAGTCTTGATTCACTTGCTGTTCCATTAAGATGTTACATTTCACGTCACAAAGTGTACTGAACATGGGAAAACACAGACCAGATGCTCTCACAGACCTCCACAGAGGATTAACCCGTGTTACTCAGTCACTTCAGTAACTAAGGTTCAGTCCTTTTTTTTTCCTTTTAGCCAGGCTGTCACAGATCTTATGGTACATTTGTCATACTGTACATACTGCAGTTTATAATAATATTGTTATTACATCAGTGGCACATTGATATTCTCAAAAAACATTTTTCTTTCTTGAAGAACGTGGGAAAAAACATGTAACAAATAATAAACACAGTTTATCCCCTATAGTAATTATTGCACTTTCAAATAAAAGCTAAAGGTATTAAATTCCTATATCAGGAGCAACACACAGGTTTTGTGTACTGAACTAAATTACAGTTGTGTTTTGATGAAGTTGCTGACCTGTTTCTCCATCATTGCTTTCTCATATTCCCCCTGTACCACATCAAGCTCTGCCTGCTTGGCGTCTAGCTCAGCCTGAGCTTTCTGAAGGTCTGCATTAGCTATGGTCAGACGATTCTCCTGCACGGCCAAGTTAGCCTAGAAAAAACAGAGAAAAACAATGAAAGAGTGTGGAGGGGAGAGCTGTGATGGTTTGTTTGTTTGTTTGCTTGCTTGCTTTGTTTTTTGCACATTAAAAGCTTCAGGTAAAAAACAGAGAAAAGTCATTAAATAGTTAAATGGTTAGTGGGGTGCCAGTTTAGCTCACAGCATGCGCAACCCACAAAGATTAAATGCAGCAGCCAGCGTTCAACTCTAACCCATGGCCTCAATTACCAGTGTGCTATCTAATAGAGGCAGAAATGTCTGAAAATGGTTAGTAAGATATTTTAGAAGAATGGACATAAACACTGAAAGAAAGAGTTTGAAGATGACAGGAGTAAGCAAAAAGATAGTCTGTGTATAGAGCTAGGGTTGTAGAGAAAACACTGAAGCTCAAAAGCTTTGGAGAAAACTTGAGAGTGTGCTTGCTGTGGGATAAGGAAAAAACATAGCTATTTAATATTAATTGACATCTGAGGGGAACATCCCTTCTCATCTTTCTGCATGTCTGTCCATTCGACTGTATCTCTGTATCCAGCTTAAAGGGAAAACACCACTGGGCTCGAAACCAGAAAATCTGTTTTGTAGGCTGTGCTCCACAAAAGGTCAAAATAAAACAACAGCGCCGAGGGATGTGTATATATGTAGCTGTGTGTGAGTGTGTTTGGAGGGGGATTAGGGAAACAAAGTGGAAAGGAGGAAAAAGAAATTGGTGGCTAGAGCAAAAAGAATAGAATGCAGTTAAGAAAAGAGAGAGGTGTTGAATGAGAACTAACAAGGGTGACAGCAACAGATGTCATCATCAGGCAACATTTCCAAAAGCATAAATGTACACTGTAAATGCCTTTAAATGACTATGACCCATCAGACATTCACAGCAGCTTGTATTTACTTGTAGTTAACCGAGTGGGTGATTCTTCAGAAGAATTTTGCCTTTTGTCTTGGTGAAAGCACATGTTACAGCCATGGGTCACTTCGCTCCTTCATCTGGCGTGATTAGCCCCGTCTGTTTTGTATGCTTATTAGCATGTGCAAGCCCCTGTTAATGATTGGTGCCTGGACTTGTCTCTCATCCTGCCTCCTGGCCTGCTCTGCGTTCTCTCACGAATGACTGGACAGTTGCCCCGGTGCAGTGGTTCAACTGGAATACAGCACTAATCACAGCAGCAGCTTTAAAAGAGCTGCCACTTTGCTATTCAGGACAGTGTGAACAACGTGCCATGCTGTGTTTCCTGATTGCATGAACTAAAGGTTGCTTGTTAGCTAGTTTTGTATTGTTTGTAGCTAACAAGCTTCTGCAAGCAACCCTGTGTAGTGCTTCTCATGATTCTGTAACCTCTTCCGTTGACCAAGCTTGGCACACTCATCCAACTAGAGACACTCAGTTTAGAGGGTGACTAGTTAAGTAAGTTTGTCCCTTTAAAAAATGATAAGTAAAAGAGAAATTAGTTGAAGTAAAGTTCAGTTGCTTCTGCGGTCATTGGCACTGTCTGGCATCTTTATATCCACTTTTCCATCGTGCTTAGACTACATTATCTCTAAACATATTTTCTAAATTTCTATATTTTTTTAACCAAATAATTTTCTGTTTTGGAAGAATTAACTGGTGAATAAGGTAAGGCTGAATATTAACACTTTAGAAACGTTCTAACATTGAAAATGTTAGCTCTGTATTCTCTACTAAGTCATAAGTCCTTTTCCCCCAAAAACAGCCACAGATCAAGAAAATGTTTGATTTAAAGGTTAATCATGGACGCAATACACCGTTTTTCTTTTTGTTAAACACTTTACTTTGCCTTTAGTGGCTGAATTTGCTGATCCATTTAGTTGTCAAAAATGGCACACACAAAAAATGACAAAAATAAAGATTTAGTATGTTTGTATTTTATCTCTGGGGTAAGCATGGAGGTGAGAGAAGGCTCAGCTGGTAAGCTTTTAGCTTACACAACTTGTGATGCTGTGCAGTAATAATCAAGACTTTGCACATATTTTCTGCAGATATCAGATCTGGGTGTGTGGATTTAATAATTAATAATTAATAATTGAATAATTCACAGGGATTCCAGTGACATAAAGCGAATAAATAGTGCAGCCTGCTGCATAAATAAGGAAAAATAGATTATATCAGTCTCTTGGATGTAATACAAAAAAGCGCTTCCCTTCAGTTGTAGAAAGCATGAAGAGTGTCTAAAATGTAATCTTTTTATTTTCAGCTCATGCCAGATTATCAACAAGATGTTTCACTGTATTGAATAAAACGAGGATGTCATGATCTTAAAAGAAGTATTTTTATATTTTCTCACACACAGTAAATCCTACATTATAGGATAACCTAAATTCTCAGATACTGATTAGTATGATTTTGCCCCACCCAGCACTCTCTCACTCACTCTCACCCAGCAGTCTTTGAGCACAAGGAGTCTGAGGAAATCCATTTTCAGGCTTGTATCACAAGATTAAAAACGTAAGCCTTGAAAATCTGAGATGCACCCAATGTTTATAATCAGTGGATAAATACTTCTGAATTTTGCTGCACTTCAAACTTCTACCATCAGCAAATTATTGCTGCTGCAGTGTGGAAATGTGCCTTTTTGTGCCTTTGTGGCTTGTGGTTTTTCTACAGAATGAAACGTTTCATATTCATCAGATTGGGAGAATAGTCCAAAAAGTGTGTGTGTGTCCCTAATGTTACACATTTTAGGAGGTGTTTCATAATACATATTTGTAAGGGTGAGTTTAACTTACAGATGCCAATTGGTAGTCAGTGGAATAGTAGATTATTCAGTTCAGTTTCTGCTTTTCTGAGGAAGCACTCTACTAGATCTGCAATAATGTTTGTTACCTTCAAGGGCAAGACCTCTTTGTTGATGGAAAAGAAGGAAGCCATGGCTTTGGTCCAGGATGCTATGCCAGCTACATTGCCACACACCCTCTTGGCTGTTTCGATGTTGTAGTCAGGCATTTCGAAATAAGGCTGCAGGAGCTCCACAGTTTCCCTATTAATGCTGTCCTTGGGGAATTGCTTCAGGAGGGGAAAAGAGGCAGAAAAAACAGAATGAGTATGCGGCGGTTTAATCTGGGACTTATTTCAGCCTTTGCATTTAGACAAATGCTGAAAATGCAAAGCTATACAAAACCAGAGAAAATGAAAAAATACATACTGAAAGGGACAAAGACAGAAAATAGAGCATGTACTCAATTGAGACCAAAATTGCATCAGGATGAAAAAAAAACAATTTAAATCAGGGCATCAATGGGTTATGTTTAAAATAAAAGGTGTTTACAAATAAATATTTTAATAAGACATGAACCACTTTTATGGAAGTGCAGAGACTAAACTCTTAGAGTCTAAGTTTAGCCCTTTCTATTATGTAGAATGTAGCTTTCATTCATGTTAAACATGGCAAATAACACAAAGCATAAATCCTGAATCATGTGTTGAGATAATATGAGCACTTCAGTCTTAACTATATACAAATTAAATAAATGTTACTGCACCTGCAGACTGCCCAGGAAGTTTCCAGCAGTCATGAGTTTTAATGACTCCTGCCATGAAGGAGTGTTGCAGTTCTTCTCTGGGTCAACTTTCACAGGGTTGACCTTCCTCTGGAAGAGCAGCAGCACGCAGTCCATGATCCGCATGATGAGGTGAGGGGGGCGACCGAGTGTCCGTACTGTGGCAATATCTGACGGTTTAATTGTCTATGTGGGCAAAGAGGACAAACGGAGAGCGGGAGAATTTAGAACAGTCATTTACTGTATGGCATGACCCCGATGGGAGAGCTGGAAACATGTGACAAGTAAGTCGAGTAAGGATTTGACGCCAGCAAACTGGACAAACGCAGAGCATGTTAGGAGACGATTAGAGCAGCGCGTTACTATGACGAGAACAAAGGATAAATCATTTGTTTCTCATTACCGTGTTCAAAGAAGAGACAGATACATTAATGAGGATTATACCTAATTCTCCAGTTTCAGAATATAAAAGCAGAGGAGGTGTGCAGAGGGAAACAACACGACGACCGTAAGTATAAACTGTGGCAGAATGAGAGGAGTTCAGGAGAGGGTGACACAGGATTTCCTCCAGGGACTGATTAAAACAAGAGACAGCAGACCAGTAAAGAAAATGTTCCTGTGAGAACTGTTCGGCTGCTTTACTCTCTTCTTATCTTTTCTTGTTTTGCACTTCCCATTTCTGTTCTCTCTTCCTTGCTCCATTTCCACTCAGTGCAAGCCTGAATTTCCCACTAGAGTGTCAGCCACCAGACAGTCTGGGTTATCATGTACTTCTACTTTCACTAGCCTATATCCTCTATTCTCCTACAGCTTCTTATGAAAATCTCTCACTAAGCCCATTGTTACAAAATAAAATCATCACTCCAGTTCAGCAAGAACTACAAAAACTAAACCATTTTATGCTTTACTGTCATCATTAATCCACTGTAACTATTAGCAAATCAGCTCCTTTTGTATGACAAGGAAATGTTATAGAATGGTACTGTTACCTTGAGTTTGCACACACACAAACTCGGTCCTTTTAAAGGCTGGGTGAATATCCAAATTAATCACGAAACAGAACCGGTCTGTGAATATTTTAATGTGACAGTGTGGTATGAAAAGCCTGAAGAAAGGAAACATAAATTCCTTCAACTCCTCTGCCACTAAAACTGATGTTCTTGAATAAGTTAGAAAATATCTTTTACTTTAATCTCGCTATACTGCAGAACACCAGCAACATTAGGAAGTGTCTTGGGTTGTCTGTTTAGAAATCCGAGGTTTCTATATGCAGTTGCACGATAACATTTTTTTAATGAGGGAATTGCCACAGGAGCTCTGCATGCAACCATCTACCCAGGAGGACAGCTTTAATTACAATGCAGCTAGAGGCACCAGACGACCATACTAAGTTTAGACACACCAGGACAGTAAAGCTGCGGGCAGAAACATTCATACAGCTTCACACATTAAGTCACAGAGGGCTTTAAGTGGCACCCTGAAGCAATACATAGTAAAAGAGCAGGAGAAATCTAAATTGGGTAAATGTAAGTCACACATTAAAGCACAAAAAGACTGCCCTCACTTTTTTAAATATCCAAGTTATATTGTAGGGTTAGATCATGAAGGCAAAAGCAAATATGCTTTGCTTTACTGGATCAAACATGCTTACATTCACCCCCCTAAAGCTGTGACACAGGAAAAACTCTGCTTATGAGTGAAATAATCTAATAGCTACAAGACTCGTGGTATCTACAAGATGAACTTTGATGACTCTGGTGATCTCCCGCCTTTTTTCACTGGCACTAACATTAGGGTGACATTTGGCTCATGAAAGCCAGTTCAGACAACGATGTCACGTTGCTGTTGAATGATTAATTGCAATCACTTTTCCAGCACATTTTGTAATCTTCAGATCATTTTAATTTGTCTCATTAAGTGATTTATGATCAACTACCTGCAAAACTAATTATCCTATAATACACCCCCCGGTCCAACACACACACGCACACACACTCACACTCACCGCCAATGTGGTACTCAAAAAAAAAAAAACTCAGGTTTAACATTTAAACTGAAATGGTTCGTATAGCATGTTGTGAATCTCTAGCATGGCTATAGGCTCTGAGTGATTTAAAAGAAAACAAACAAACAAACAAACAAAAAAGACGTCTGAACGTAGATATGTCCACCTGAGAAATTTAAGTCTGGAGGGAAGCCTTGGAGGCATGTATTCAACATTGCTGTTTCAACATCCCATACCTGCAGCGCAGCCTCTGCCTCCTCGAGAGCTGGCCGGGCAGCTTCGAGTTTCTCCTCAGCGATGGCCTTGTCAGCTGAAATGCTGTCCACAATGGCCTGCGCCTTGTCCTTCACCTTTTGTACCTCTACCTTCACTCGCTCTGCTGCCTGGGCTTTTACTGTCACCTCCTTCAACACCTGCACAAGAAAACAAACACACATTATAAGTGACAGAGAAATGATTTGAAGCTGGGAGACATTCTCAGCTGAGAAAAGATCGTAAGTGTGGTTAAGCAGAAAACAGAATGCTCAATCCAATGGGAGATGGCAAATCTGAGCATTTGTAACACTGAAGAGGCTCTACCTGATATAGAGGTCTCTGTATAACAAGAGTGAATGTTCACGAATGGAGAAAAAAAAAAGAGACGGCTTAAACTGCTTCACTTATGCTGAAGCATGACTGTAAAAAATACACATTCGTCCCATTAAACATCTATTTCTCTTATTTCACTCACTGCAGGAGGGTAATTTTACGCAACAATACAATATTCCCCAAACAATCACTGGAAAGCCTGATTCCCAGCAACGGACACAATAAACACTTCATCTCTTCATTCTGTGTTCACTTTCTTATTAATGCATGAAACTTTATATTAGTGTCTAATACAAACTAGCATGTATCCATTCAATTCTGTTGATTAGTTCATAGACCGTGTTGCTGTTTTAATAAAAATGCAACAAAAAAGCCAGCTGAAGCATTCTGTATGCTTTTTGAACCTTAAACCCACACACATACAAATGAAAATCTCCTCCCTGCCTACAAACGTACCATATCAGCCTTGTCATTGGCAATCTGTAGCTCCTTCTCTTTCAACTCCAGTTCTTTGCTGAGAGCTGCCACTGACACCGATGCCTCCTTCAGCTTTTGGAGACCAGTATTCATCCTGAAGAGGAGAAATTTTGAATACAGTTGATCAAGTCAAATATGATTACAGCAAACTTGTTGCTTCTGTGTACTGTCTGTCTACTATCTGGGTTTCTGTTTGCTTAAATGGCAACACAACTTGCATATGTTATCATTTGCACAACATTGTTGAACTCATTTACCTGTTGGCCAAAGTCTGAACTTCAGACCTCTTTTCTTTATAGATGGTTTTGTAGCCTTGAATGAAGGACAAATAAGACTTGGGTGTGACATGGGTGGAGCGTCGGTATCTAGATTCAAACAAATTGGGTAACATTAATACTGCAACATGCTAAATATTATGACAATCATCATGCGTTGCAGACACACATAAAACAATCTTCACAAACACACATACATATACATATATATATATATACATATATACATATACATACATATATATATATATACATACATATACATACATATATATATACATATATATACATACATATACATACATATACATACATACATATATATATATATATATGTAGTACCTCTGGAAGTAGTCCACACATTTCTCTGCTACACCATCCTGGAAGGAGCCCATGCACTGAACTACCTCACATTTAACCTGGGCTGAGCAGTCTATGTCATAAACAGACAGGAAGTGCTCTGAAACTGAAGGACAGGAAGAAACGAGACAGGACATTATTAACTGAAGAAAAACCTCAGAGAGCGCAAAGAAAGTCGATATTTTGTATTCATATAACAGCATCCACTTTGAAATAAACAGAGTATAACATGTACCGCATACATTTTTGAAAAGAAATGCGAGCACCAGACAGGTCACATTTGTAAAAATAAAACTGTGTGTTAAAAATACCTGCAACCAGTGCATCTTTGGGCCAGCGGCTGAACCAGTCCATGGTGCAACCAGAGATCAGCGCCGGAAACTTCAACGCTCGGTTCCGGAACTTCTCCCCAACAGGGGAAAAGCACAGAATGACGTGGAGATTATGTCGAACTCGTGACATGAAGTAATCGTACAGGTTTCCGTTGGTTGGAGGTCGCCGGGGAAACTCTCGCTTCATGACAGGGATGAGATCATTGAGGATATCATCTATTTCGTCACGGGCAAACAAGTTGGACACCTGAAGGCAGAAACATGCAGTTATGTCTCTGATATCACAATACTGACGGACCTAACCATAGTTCGCTCGTTTAACACTTTTCTTAATTTTGGCTGTCGTCTCTTACAACTCATGGCCGCAGCGTTTTTTAGCTGCGTCCAACAACTGCCAGGTCCCGGCATACTTTTTTTAACAGGGGGGTGTGATGAGCTGATGGAGCTCCGATGTGTCTCATCCTCCCCTGCAGCCATTCCCGAGCCACACCCCGCCACAATCCATGTACCTGTACTGCTGTGTATTTTAAAGCTCAAACATTTCTACTCCGATAATAGTGCCAACCAAATCTTTTACAGAGTAATTTTTCAATCTGATCTGATCAAAGATTTCCCATACAGAGATCTAGCAGTTGCAGCTTTTAAATGCAGTGATTAGCACTGTCACCTCACAGGAAGGCTGTGGGTGCAAACCTTGGACGTTCTCTTCAAATACAATGGCTTCCTCCCACAGTCCAAAGACATGAATGTTAGAAACATTCATGTATTTCCCTACACAAAACTGTGTTTTATTGACCATTTTTTAACATTATTTTAATTGGATCTTCTTCTTCCTCACACTTCACAATAGTTGTCACTTCTTCTTACCTCAACCTCTTTCCTTAGCAATTTCAGTAGAAGTGTATATTGGTTGGCTGATGAACTAAATGTATGTGACTGCTGGCAAAAAATCTTGAAATGGTGAGTTTTAAAACAGCTTGCTGGGTGGGTACAAGTTTAACCAAGTGGATGAAGGTACGAGATTCACGGTTTAAATGTTTTAAGCTGAGTCATTTCTCCAAATCCCCAGTTTCCATTAGAGAGAACATGTAACTCAGATTTAAGAAAGTGAAACAGTGTCATGGGGGACTATGTGGTGTTGTGGTAAGTGTCCCTAACCATCTGTTACTCTCACAAAAAAAACAATATCACGATAACAGCTTGCTTTTCCTTTTTGTTTCTCATCTCTGTCACTTTCTCTCACACACAAACATCCTAATACTACTGCAACACAAACTCCCTCCTACAACCAAACACAAACATGACCTACAAACCTCTCACCTACACACAAACAATAAAAAAACAACAACAATATCGTTCTACCCAGGTCACCACTTAAATTTACCCCACCTGGTAATGCAGCTGCTGCTTAAACTGTTATCAAGCCATGGAGGCAGAAGAAAAGGTGACATGGGAGCAGGGGGGAAAGGCCAAAGATGAGGAGGAAAGGAAACAATAATACTATTATCAGGCAGACAGCGATATAGAACATGCAGACACGTTTACATACACGAGATTAGAAAAGAGGAAGAAAAGAAGACAAAAAGATGGGAAAATAAATAATTGAAAGAAGGGAAAACAAGTGGGAAACTAACAGGGGAAAAGCGCCTGCATGGCTCTTATCATGGTGTTCCCATAGTGTTAAATGTCAAATCCAATGATATCCACTGACTTCGAACAGTGTAAGAGCTTCAGCTTGGTGAGTGCTGGTAAACCTCACTGGAAGCTTAATACTTGTCACATATATTGATCTGACTTCTGACCTCTTTTATTAAGTGACTTCCTGAATAACAAAATGTAAACATACGGAGTTCAAAATAAGGGCTTTGAAAGTTGTCTAAATATCCTGTGGTGGCAAAAATTCATACAACCCCTCCCAACTGTGTAAACAAACATGGAGAGGAGGAGAAAAGATGAGAAGGAAAGGGAAGAGAGTAAGAAATGTGCATAAGAACTAGCGGGGAAAAAAATCAAAGGGCAGGACAAAGATGAAAACAAAATTCTGGGAGTGGAGAAAGAGTCTTTCAGCAGATGTAATGAAGAATGCTGTAGTACACAGAGGTGTACTTGTATGTGATTGTCCATTATAGTTTCATTTCATTACAAATATCAAAGAGAAAATAACTGCAACTCGGTCATAATGGTGAGGAAAATACACTTTTAAAATTGCACTGAACTGATACGACTCGTGCTCTCTTAAGATTGCATTCATGAAATGTTTACTGCACTCAAAGTGGAATGCAGTGCTAAAACAAAATGTTGTCTTCTAACATGCTTCTTTATCCTGCTCTTTTCCTTATCTTCTCACACAGGCCTCAAAGGTTTTTCATGTTAAAATAGAGTCCTTTCTCCCAAATGTCACCAAGTAATTGCTTGTTGAGGACTATTGGGATTCTCTTTAATATTTTAAGGGTTTGACCTCACAATTTGAAGCACTTTGAGTAGACTTGTGTTGTAAACTGATGATTTTTAAACAAAACTAAATTAAGCTGACTTGAAGTGAATATACACAGCTATCTGAGCGAATACAACAGTTTGTAGGTTTTCCAAAACTATGTGTGACTGTTAAATAGCTGGTGCCAGTGCTTTCATAAAAAGATAATATGTGAATCAGACAATCATAGTTGTGCCAAAGAATTCATAAATTGTACAGTTTTCTAATAAACACCACCTCTAAGTCCACCTCTCCAGTAACTATAAAGCAATTCAAAGGCAAATTACAAAAATGTAAATATAAAATGCATGCAATATAAAACATTAAGTTTGTAAAGCATGCAAAGAAAAGTTGCAGAACAAAGACACCAATGGATTGAAAACTTGCTTAAGGAAGCACCAAGTAGCTTTCTGTACTGTAGCGCCTTACAGACCAATTACAGTAACATTATCTAATATAAAATATCAGTATGAGTCATTCAGATGGACTATCAGACAATGAGACTCCAACCTCTTACTTAAACTTGGAACCATATATTTTTCAACACCAACACTAACTGAGCTCTGTAAACAGTTTTATAAACAGTTAAAGTTTTATGGCAGGCTTACATTTCAGACTTTATGATATAATTTTAGGGGATGAACACAAAACTTGCATTAAGTGTTGAGGAATTTCAGCCATTTAGCAGAAAAGTCAATGAAAAGTCAGTCAGTCTTTGTCCAAACCCATCTAGAAAAGCAAGAGTAGCTTTGGAAAAAAAACATTTTAGAGAATATATAACTAAGGTAAACCTGTATAATAAAGACAGGAAATAAAAGGTATGGATAACACTTTGAATGCCTTATGAACAGAGACTGAAGTGGCCCAAAATAATCTAAAAGGCCATTTCAGCACCTTCAGCTAATGAGCAATAAAATTTAACAGAATGCGTATTGGTGTCGCTTCCAGTGACGGCATGCTACGGCTCAGTACATAATAAGAATAATTACATTTTCTGCTTAAGCTCTCAGCACATTCCATATTTCATTCTTGACCCTGTGAAGGCTTTATGGTGCTGATATTATTAAAGTTACTAGCGCTAGCTAGAGGCTGTACTTTAGCCTGTTGCGCTACAGAACAGGAGTTTGAATAAATAGAGTAACTCGTTTTGTTTTGTCTTTTTTTTTTTTTTAAATAAAGGTGGGTTATTTCGAGTAACTTTTCACATAATTCAACAAATATCAGAAAACACACAAACTATGTCTGCGCATTTTGCCCCAAAATTCATTTTAGAGTTTTTAAATCAGACATGATGAGTTGCTGACTTGTGTTTTTGGTGAAACATCTTGAAAAACAAACTGAAGTATTCTCCTTTATATTATTCAAAAGTTCCATGAAAATACTGCACTAGGCAGTTTGGTACAGTTTAGTGCAGGCTATGCCAGTTACTTTCAAACACTGTGTTGAAGTTAATAGTGACACACTAAGTTGGACTGGTACGGAGCAAGCTGTAGTGTTCATGGTCAATATTAGGCTGCGTCAAGTGTAGCATACATGAATTTCTATTTAAGAAGATGATGAAGATTAGATTCATCTCCCCAAATTCCATCTTTTATACTACATTTAAAATATCTTGGGGTTAGAAATCGGCCATATAGCTTGTGAAACATGTGCTTATATCTTGTTGACTTCACTTAGCTAAATCCACAAAGAGAAATGGATATCATGGTAGCAACATCACATGGCAGCTTATCAAATAAGACTCTACTAGTGGCTCAAAACAAGTTAGAATGCAACTTATATCTAAGTAACTGTTTCCCCAAGCTATAACTCCTGATTACAAACCATAGGATATACTGTAATATCACCTGAAAAACAACAACAGAGCCAATGCAGTCCATGCACATGCACAGCACTGGATCACTACTGTCTATTAATGATATAAAAGAAGTAGAAACAACCAGATGCCTTTTTAAAGATACCTTAACCTCTCATCGATTATTTAATTTAAAACTATACAACTTTCAAACACTGCACACTGCATATTCTCTTGTTGTTCTGGTCTCACAGCCTTAACTGTGACCCACAGTAAGTAGAGGATTACATTACTATGAATACGGATTATTTGGAATCTTTTCTCCTTGTGTGTGCTGCTGACCTCTCCAGATGACAGCACATTATTCATGTACTCCAAGAAGGACTCGTCTTTTATTTCGTTGTCAGTAAAGATGAAGCTGATGCCTTTTCCATGCTGGCCAGCTGTTCTGTACAAACTCTTCAGGTCATCCATCAGGTTGGATGTATTGTATGAGCTGGAAAAGAAAAGCATAAAATAAATATGCACACCCTTTCTTCACTAATAACTAATTTTACAGCTTCTAAAAATCATCCATACGTAGTTAAATGCAATCAAAAAGTGCAGCAGCAGAAAACTAGATCGCACAAAAACTTTAATTCATCTATTTATGTGCCAATTTGCATGAAATTTCTCATGAGATTGAAGCTCAAACTACATTTATTGGTGAGAGCAGTTTTTTAAAAAAAAGTGTCGGCGCCCCAGTTTGAGGCTTGGACGATGAAAGTGAAGCACATCTTAGCTTGAAAGTTCACCTGCTTTAGTGTGTGAATGTCAAATTTATTGAATTATAAAGAGGCAGATGAAAAATAAGTTAGAGGGAAAATGGAAGAAGCTGCAAATTGGAGATATTAACTGCATAAACAACATGAGAGAGAAACCACAGATTACTTTCATCTGGTTCTTTAATGATTATCAATGAGATGAGATACTCCATCCTGTAGTTAATAAGAAATTATAACAACAGCCCTAAGTGGCTGGGAGTTACGCTGTGACTGCCAGACTAGATACGCATTGCTGGTTATTAAAAATAAACACACCTGTTCCCAACTCAACCCAGCAAAAGTGATGAGTTGACCAGTTTGTAAAAGAAGAATAATATTTGAGGACAAAATAATGGCAGTTTGAGAACAATGAAGCTAGTTAAGCAAGATACAGGTAAAGAGTAACCTCTCCACTCAAGGGAGAAAAGCTGCTTAAGTGAAAAGTAACATTGTGTCAGCCATAAGGATAAAGAGCCCGGACACAGACAGCATGACTACTAGCCACTCAGGGCTGCTGTGATGATAGAAATGCTTCTTTATATGCAGTCTAGTGTGCTTCTAAGAATCCACTGCAGCATATATACCAAAATAAATGCTTTTAAAAAATCTCTAGTAGGAATAATAGTGTTAGGATAACAAAGTTTAAAAGAAATTGTGTACATTAAAGCAACAAGAAAGTCTAAGTTACTGTACAGACAGAGGGAGAGAAAGAGAGTAAATTGAGTTTGCATGAAATAAGAGAACTATCTGTACTGGATGTGCATCTGAAAATCAGTTTTATGTGTGTATCAGAGAGAGCAGATGAAAAAGAAGGAAGGGGACACACAATAGAGGTATCCGTTTTCACCAGGGATAGCTGTGAAGCTAAGAGGACAAACATGTGGTTCATTAATATTAATAGGAAACATTAAAATCTGTTTGGCGAACAAACCAGTGGAAAGTGTGACAATAAATGAATGTAGGGACTGAAGGAGGAAACTACTTGACAGGTTTGGAAGCACGAGTTAGTGATGGTGAGTTAGTACGTTAGTGAAGCCAGAGCTTCTAAGATATCATATAATTAGTGTGATATCTGTACCTCTAATGAGAATATACTAGCTGCTGGGCCTGAGAGCTGATAATGCAGAATGTTTCTCATCAGTGACAAAGGTTCTGAGTTTAATGGTTTGATTATAGATGATTATATGATTAATGATTAGATTATAACTAAATCTAACGATTATAAAACAAGTTTAGTTTGACATGTTTTGTGAAGGAATTACTCAGAAAAGGAAATCTGACAATGAAAGGTGTTACTACCACTCCACAATCCAATCCTTAGGAGGTTTACAACTTACACCACTCTACCTACATCATTAATAACATTAATATTAATTTTTGCCAGCACACTACCGTGTGAGCGTGATCTGGAAGATCTTGTATCCAGCTATGAACGAGGCCAATCTGGTCAGGCTCTGTTTGCCAGAACCCCCAACCCCCACCAGCAGGGCATTACCTCCCGGTGTTCGGATTATCCTCGACACCTACAAATACACACAGAGCTAGAGTCAAATAAGCATGTTTACATTTGCAGTAAATTGTAGGCAACAAAAGAAAATAGCAAGCAAAGTAGGAATACATTAAAAAGATAAAGTAGGAATCTGTGTCTGAGTGCAAATGTCTGGGAGTGAGCAACTGTTTGTGAACGCTCCACAATTTATACTCCTTGAAGTAAAACTGTTAGGATATTCCTTGGGCTTTAAGGTGGTCTGAAAACATTTATGGAGGACTTTGAAATGTAAAAACCCTGACTGATGAAAACGTTAGGAAGTGTAGATTATTTTGGTTGGCACAAACACGACAAAAAACTCTTTAGAGTACCTTGACCAAATGTATCATAGCATCCTGAAAGAAGACCATATCCATGCCAGTACCCCTAATGCTTTCATTGTAATGGCTTAGGAACATGTTCAGACGGTCCTTTAAAGCCTCAAATGATTCAATAGGCTCGTACACTTTGGGCAAATCAAAGTCTGAGTCTTCTGGTTCTTCCCCTGTGAGGAAAAAAATGAAAGCAAGTCACAAAACTGAGAAAATCTCTTAAATATATATATTTCAATATAGTCAGACTCAGTAGTACCTGTGGCCTCGGGGGCATCTCGCAAGAAGTCAACAAAATATCTTTCTGCTACATAGTCCACCATATTCTTGTGCTCTTCACCAAGATGTTCTTCCACCAGCTTTACCAGAGCCTGGTCAAACCACTCCACATCATCAGGCATCGTGAATCGATCCGCTATCACACGCTTGCACTCATGTTTCCAAAGTGCCATCAACGTCTGAAAAATATATGTTATGTTATTTTTCTGCTAGACAGAAGGTAATTAGCTACATGGAATAAAGTAATAATAATAAGTAATAAAAAAAGTAATGACTGGTAATGGGTAAAAGCACTGGGGTAGCTTAGTCACTGCAAAACTGTATTACTAGTGTATTATTTGACTTAGGATTTTTAATGTGAAGTCAGACTGTCAGCCGATATTTTTAACCTAGTTATTTTTGACCTCAGCAAGCCTCCTGTGACAGCTCTTGCCACTCAGTTTCATACTGCTGCCACTTCCCCTGTTTGTCACTTACTCAGTCATGCATATTTGTCCTTGGAAAAATCCTGCATGTGTGACCAAAAAAAATTGTTTCTCCAGTGGAAATCTCAACATGTTCTCAAGTTTTTCTTAACTACTTGTCATGTTAGAAATGAGGTAATTAAGCATGCAAAATACATCTCACCTGGACAGAGGTGACAACTTCAGCATTGGTGCTGAGCATGCCTTGCCAGATCCTGGAGAGATCCCTCAGGTTAAAGATGTAGTGGAACTTTGCAGGAGTCGGAAGCATCTTGACCTTAGTCAGCTGCCAGAGACGACGCGTGAGGGAAACCAAACGAGGTACAGTGCTCTGGACCTCCTCGCTAAAACCACGTCCTGTGCAAAAGTGGCCCTCACCGATCACGCCTGTGTCATAAAGTCGATGTTTAGAAAAGTTATACATTTTTTTCCAAAGTAAAGGATACAGTGTGTTTCGTGAAATCACTGTATGGTGGCATTTATTAGTACTTAGTTCATCCCTCTAACTTGCTGTGATATATATATGATTGGCAACTATATTACAAGCACACAACACCTACACAACTGTCTGGAAATGGTAAAATAAGAACAAATAAAATAATGTATGTCTCTCAGGACATACATTATACATTATGCCTTAGACCTTGTCATGTATGAACATGTAATGCGAAGTAATCCCAAAAATATAAATGACTGCAGAAAAATGACTTCTTGCAGTGTTTTACCCACCAAATATCTTGTCTATCGAAGCATTGGAGGGCAGCGTGCAGTTAAAGATTGAGAACTGCCTTTTCAGTCTCTGTGGTATGTCATTACGGCCCCCTCCAGGATGAATCATTGCTGCCAGGAACTGAACATCCACAATATTTGTGAACTCTCCCGGTTTTTCCAGATTGAAGAAACCATTCTGTTCCATCAGCTGCCTGACAATCTCATTAGTCACCTGTGATTGAAAGCAAGAAGCTTAAATCAAGAAAAGTTTTGTTTTTCATTTATTTATCATTAACCAGTATTATGAATGAAAAAACACCAGTAGAAATGTTATAATGACCTGGTCTCCCCACTCATTGATGACAGGCATGTTGATGTCATCTATAAAAATTGACATTTTCTTCCCAGCAGGCGGTCCATAAGTGGTCCCCATCCTCTTATCAACATAGCTCTCAACAGACCTCTAAAAAAAAGGAAAAAAGGGAGGGATGAGGCAAGAAAAAGTACAGCGAGATAAAGAAAGAGATCTTTTAATTTCAACTGAAATGTAATTCATCACAGATCATCAATATCACACATGTTCATATTCTTTAATGGCAAATGAACACAGTCATGGTGTTGGTTTTCATTATAGACCTGCTCTGTGCATAAGGCATTGCCAGGTTGGCAATGCCTTATACAACTGCCCCCTGCCTTGCATTGAAACGATTACTTTCTTCCTGTCTTTGGCTGTGTGACTGCTGTCTACTCTTACTACTTCAGCTGTATCTCATCACTCGATCGGTCCCTGAGTGTGCGCAGTAAGGAGCCTATAATATGCCTTGTTACTCAGCTGTATTCCGCCCTCTTTCCTAGTTTGTGTCTATTTTGGTTTCACTGTACTTTGCATCCATCCTTCATATCTTTTGTTTTTGGTTTTACTACTATTTGTATAAGCCTTCAGCTAATTCCTGTGTTTGATCTCTTGGTGTTACCTTCTGTTGCATCAGCTTTCATTTTTAAAGTTTGCTCTTTATTCTTGTTTACCTGCCTGTGGTGTTCTCCCCTCTTTAACTGAACGCTCCTTTTAAGTTAAAAATTCACAGAGTGACACACTTCTGTTTCTTCTAAATTAAGAGAAACGTAGGCAGGTGACCTGCTGCTTTACCTGGAACATTAGTGGTGTAGTAGCAGAAGAGAAGTTGAGACTCTTGCCTATGTGGGTCTCAGGGTCATACTTTGACATGTAGCTCTTGATGATAACAGTCTTGGCTGTTCCTTGCTCTCCAATTAGCAAAACAGCCTATAACAAACATATTTAGATTTGCCATCAGTCCAAATTATCCCAACTAACTTCCACGTTATAGGATAACATGAGAAGGACGACAGTAGAACAAGACCGCGAACAGTTAACTGTGTCCTCCAATGCAAGAGAGGCACGTCTACGGCATATTCTATGAGGAAAGATCAAAGGGAAAGTAAGAGCATATCCTCTGCGTCTGCTGAGCATAAACACATGATGCTGGTTTTGTAGTTACATTTAAATGTTTATCCAAAGTTTACTTCAGGTTGTCTCTCTGGAGAAAGTACATGACTCATTGTCAAAGTCTAAAAACAGATGAGACCTTCATAAATGTAAATATAGAGGATTTAGAAAAGACACAAAACACTCAAGAACAGGAAGGTCAGATTAGACTTTGAAAACAGAAAACAGCTAAAAAGAGCCTTGCACAATTATCCAAAAACTAAAACTAAGATTGCTTGTGCCAGAATGATGG